AGCTTATTGAATGTTTGTATTCATGTCTTTCATCAAATTTGAGACATTTTCAGTCATTATATCTTCATATATTCTTGCTGCCCCTTTCTCTCTCTCTTCCCCTTCTAGGATTCCTACAGTGCATATGTTGGTCCACTTAATGGTGTCCCACAGATCCCTTAAGTTCTGTTCACTTTTCTTCAATCATTTTTCTTTGTGTTCCTCAGCCTCAATAATTTCCATCATCCTGTCTTCAAGTTCACTGATTCTTTCTTCTGTCTACTCAAATCTGCCTTTGAATCCCTCTAGTGAATTTTAGATTTCATTAAAATTTTTCAATACTTTTCAGCTCCAGAATTTCTTTTTGGTTTCTTTTTACATTTTCTGTCTCTTTATTGGTATTTCTCTTTTGTTCACAGATCATTTTCTTGACTTTTCCCACATCTTCCTTTAGTTCTTTGAGCATCTTTAAGACAGTTGTTTTAAAGTCTTTGTCTAGTGGATCTGCCATCAGGTCTTTTTTTTCAGGGACAGTTTCTGTTGATTTTTTTTCCCTTTGAATGGTCTATGTTTCCTGTTTCTTTGTATGCCTTGTGATTTTTTTTGTTGTTGTTAAACATGGACATTTGAATCTAATAATGTGGTAACTCTGGAATCAGATTCTTCCCTTTCCCCAGGGTTTGCTCATTTTATGTTATTGTTTCTTTGTTTGGTTGGTTGGTTGGGTTTTTGCTTGTTGTAGGTTGTCTCTGTTTTGAGGTTCAGCCTGAGGTGTAACCTTAAGGTGTTCTTGGTTTTTTTCTGAGCCTTTCTCTGGGCATGCACAGTCACTTTCTATTTCCCCCCATAGATACAGTTGCTTTTGAATGTCCTTGTCTTTAATATCTGGCTCCCAAGAGGAGAAAAAGCAAAAATTAAGGAGAAGGAAAAATGGCACTGACCCTTTAAATCCCCTGGAAGTCACTTCATTGGAGCAGAACGGTCTTGCAACAATGGGGGCAGTACAACAAGAATGGCTCTTTGTCTGCACCTCTGTGATCAGAAGCAGCCATCAGAGCACAGACCCCTGATATTTGGAGGACAGGGTCCTCTTTGCCCACCTTGGTTCCCGCAAGCTGTGTGCAAGCTGCTCCAGGAACACGTGCACAGCTTCCCACTGCATGGTTGGGGGAGGGGATGGGTAGCTGCTACTGTGCTAAGAGCTGAAATTGAAAAATTAACCACTTTTATTGTCCAAGACTTCCCCTGGAAGTTGCAAGCCTTCAATAGACTCCAGAGTTCTAAAATAGTTACATCAGACAGATTCTGCCAGTGCAGTTGTTGTCTGGGTGGGGAGACAGATTCTCACCTCACAGGTGCTTTCTACTCCCCCATCTTGCCAGAATCTCCTTGGTACAATTCTTGCTGTTGATATATTTTTGCATATGTATACACCCATTTAACCTCCACCCAGATCAAGATATAGAATATTTCCAGCACCCGGAAATCTCTTTCTTGTCCCCTCCCGGTCTATACCCCCAGAGATAGCTGTTGATCTGATTCTGTCCCCAGCGATTTTGAGCTTCATGTAAATGGAGCCACACAGTGTGGGCTCTTTGGTTCTGGCTCTTTTTGCTCACATTCTGTCTGTGGAATTCACCAATTTGGTTGAGTGTAACAGAAGTGCATTCTAATAAAAATTGCTATGTAGCACCCCTTGTAAGAATGTGCCATAATTTTTTTACACCCTCTTCCATTGATGGGCACTGTGAATATTTATGTGCATAACCTGTGGTGGATGTGAATGCTCCTTTCTCTTGGTTTTATATCCAGAAGTGGAATTGCTGGGTCACGAGGTGTGCATACATTACACATTACTACACATTGTAGTAGGTACTTCCAAATAACTCTTCAAATTGGTTGTAACATTTTCTGGTCCCATTTGCTACATCCTTACCCACATGGTACTGTCAGTCTTTTCACTTTAGCCACTCTGGTAAGTCTGTAGTTTTATCTTGTGGATTTAATTTGTATTTCTCTGATGAGTATAATATTGAGCACCTTTCATATGTGTGATGGTATTTTGGATATACTCTTTTGTGATTCAGTTTTTCAAAGACTTCTCCCATTTTAAAATTTAGGTTAACTAACTTCTTTATTGATTTGTAGGAGTTCTTTATATCTTCTGTATGTCAATCCTTTATAATATATATTGAAAATATACTTTCTCCCAGTCCAGGGTTTGGCAAACAACGGTCTGTGGGCCAAATCTATTCTGTGGCCTATTTTTGTATGGCCTGCAAGTAGAGAATGGTTGTTACAATTTTTTAAAAACAAATAAACAAAAATAGAGAAGAATATGTAACAGAGACCATATGTGGCCCATAGAGCCTAGAATATTTACTATCTGGCCCAGTTTGTATTTTCGCTTGTCTTTTCACTCTCTTAATAGTAGTGTCTTTTGTTGAACAGAATCTCTTCATTTTAATGAAGTCCAGTGAACGAACCATTTTTTAAATGTTTAAGAATTTTTTTGTGCTAAGAACTCTTTTTCTGCCCTCTAGTAAAGATATTCCCCTGTGTTTTCTTCTATAAACTGTATTGTTTTAAGCCTGTCATCCATTTCAAGTTAATTTTTCTATGTGGTATGAAGTACAGTTAATATTTTTTCCTCAAATGGATTTCCATTTATTTCAGCATCATTTATTAAAAGTGCCATTGTTTCCCCACTGAATTACAGTAGTGTCTTTGTCATAAATCAGGTCACTGTATATGTGTAGATATTTTTCTGGACTCTACTCTGTTTCATTCGTTTATTTGACTAGCCTTATGCTAATACTTCGCTGGCTTAGTTATGGTAGCTTTATAGAATGTCTTGATATCCTATAGTATAAATTCTCCATCTTTGTTCTTCTTCCATATAGTATTAGCTATTCTAGGTTCTTTTCATTTCCATGTAAAATTGTGTGATATACTTAAAAAAGAAACCTTACTGGGATTTTGATTGTATTTTCAATGACAAAGGACTCATATGTAGACTCTATAGAGAATTCCTATCTATAAGAAAAAGCCAGTTAACACAATTTTTAAATGAGCTAAATATTTGAAATAAATCTAATGAAAGATGTGCAAACCTCTACCCATGATGCCACAAGGCCAGCACAATCAACCTAGCTGAGCCCTACCTAAATTGCCAATCATGCCAAAATGTGAAGAAACAAAACAGTGGTTGTTTGGGTGTGGTTTGTTATGAGGCAGTAGGTAACTGATGCAACCTGGCCCCGGCTTCCTCTCATGAATGGAGCACTTTCAGTCCCTGTTTCACAGCATGACCGGAGCTCCAGGGTGGCTGCTGGCCCCAACGCCCAGCTGGACTTTGGCCTCAGCTCTGCCGCTGCTTTGTAGTTCTCATCTATTTCTGCTCCAAAGAGATGTTTATGTTTTGTGGGTTTTTTCTCAAACTGTCTTTTTGTTTTTGTCTGTTTATACTTGTCCATTGCTGCTGTGTGCTTAAACACAAGGAATGCATTAATGCATGAATTAATTGTACCATTTTAACTGGAAGCTCATGTTCTCTCTTAATTCTTTGAGATCAAACAATTTGTTACTAAATTTTTTGTTTCCTAAGGTATGACTTATCCTGAAGGGATCCATTATCTGTCTTTTAATGCTTTGTTCTTTTGTTTTTCTCTTTATCATTTGTTTCTTTGACTACAGAGTTTTGGCATACTTTAAGTGAGGAAATTGTTTCTAGGGGTTTTTTTTTTGCCTAGATACTATTTTTTTGTATTATACTTGTCCCACTCCTAATTTCTCTGGACCCTATTTGTAAACTTCTTTCAGAATTTCAGCCTAAAAGTGGTTCTCGTCTGATAAAGAGTAGAATGCAGATGATATTTCACCAGAGTTGGTTGGTTTAAACTCTGATCTCTCTTTTCTTTTATAATTTTTTTTAAGTACTGGCCTTCTTTTACTTTTCTTCTCTGACCAAAATTGGGGGTGGGGTGGGGAGGGTGGGAAGAGGTTTATTAGTTCAGCATGTCCTAGTGCTCTGCTCAGCACTGTTTTTATCAGCTGTTTCATAAGGTATGTTTTATTTTTTTCACCTGGACCATCTATGCCCTTGTGAAAGGAAAAAGAGAAACTTTAACTACATAGGGGTCAGGAAGGCCTGGAGGGGGCGCCCTTACACCCTATCATACGTGGTCAGTTACTCCAAATAGGAAGAGAAGTATGCTTGCATCTCAGACAGGAAGGTGTTTACTATTTTACTGCTGATCAGGAGGAAGGAAGATTTCTCTCCCCACCTGGCAACAGCCCAGCTAATGAGAAACCGTTGCCACTCTGAACTGTTACGTTCCCCCAGTGGACTTTCATTTAGAACAGCCCCTTCCTACTCCACCTTTTCTCCATAAAAGCATCTCCTCTCCTTTGTTCTCCAGGTTTGCTTGTGGTTTGCCATAGCTTGCACATCTGGAACTGCAACTCTTTTGGCTATTCCCGTATAAACGTGTTTGCTGCTTTTCTTTTTAAGTTGACACTCACCACCTCTCATCCTGGGCTGTGTCCCAGTTTGGGTTGGTGTAGTTGTTCAGAATGTTGTCACTTGTTTCTCCTGTAGCTGCTCTCTCTGGAGGGAAGGCTCTCACATGGTCGTCACTATGGTCACCATGCAGTTTGGTCCTGACTCTTCTGCCTTGGAATACTTTAGATGTTTGGAAGTTTATGGTTTGATGCTGGGTCCTTTTTCTAGTCGTAATATTGCTGGAGAATTCATTCTTTCCTTCCTTCATTTCGGTGTATTATTTACTATCTTTGCTTCTTTCAGCTTGCTTCCTTAGGTTTGGAGGATAGTGATTCTATGAGCCTGAGTATTTCACCAGGAGTCAAAATATGTATTTTTTTAATGTCTATTTTGGTAAATTGTAGATTATTTTTTATTCTTATAAGAGCTTTTGTTGGAAATTGTTTGATGAACAAATTAAATAATCTTAAATTGTGAAAACTATTAATGAGATAAATTGTGTTTATCACATTCACAGTCTCGTCTCAAGGAATTGGAGCAAGAAGCCCATTTTGTTGCAGGAGAACAGTTTCTTATAACAAGTAATAATCAGCTTCGAGAGGTAAAGCTAAATTTTGTTCTTTTATAAAATATTCTTCTTATTCAGGAGTTAAAGGGAGATTTATTCTAAATTTATAAATATTATTTTTTGTTGATTATCTGAAAACTATTTAAGTTGTCGATGTTCTCTCACATTAAGATTCATTACTGCAAAGCCTTTAAATCCAAGAAAAGTACTAAATCAGAATTTAAGCATTTTGTAATGTGTAATTGTGTATGTCTTCTGTGGCTGGTTGCTTTAACTCTGTTATAGTGATGTTCAATTTCTCTCAAATCTAAGACTCTCTCATCACACATAATTGCTTTTGTTGAAGATCCTCTTTGGCAAGCTAAAGCTGCATCTGCTGAGTCCAAGGGAGACTCTTCCCAAAACGGGGCTGCAGGGACACCTATCCACGTCAGAAGCCATGGTAAGGTTTGAAAATCATCCTCTTTTTTTGAAATGATAATGTAACTGCACCACATCTGAGTCAGCTCTCAGACTGGCCTGGTTTCCAGCAGTGGGACATGCCTGCAGCGACCGCCATGGAGCAGTTCAATTTGATCATTTCCTCCTTATGGCAGAAGAGGTGCTCCCACCCCAAGGTTGCCCTCCTCCTTATGAACCAAGGAGAAAGAGACAGACAGTATAGTTTTCCAGAAGCAATCAATTGGCTTGATTTCCTGCAAAGGACAATTTGGTGGAATTTTGTTCTGAAATCCAGATTCTTGACAATCCAGTCATAACCTCTTTGTTTCATGCCCCTGCAAGAGACTGAAAATGGGAAAGGTTGTCAGCCTTCTCCTTTGCCCAAATTTGTTTTAGAAAATTGTAGCTGCTCTTCTCTTGAGAAGAATACATTTTTCTGTGTGTGTGAGAAAGATTAGCTCTGAGCTAACATCTGTTGCCAATCCTCCTCGTTTTTTCTTTGCTGAGGAAGATTAGCCCTGAGCTAACATCTGTGCCCATGTTGCTCTATTTTTTTTTTTACACATGTGGGATGCCGCCACGCATGGCTTGATGAGTGGTGCATAGGTCCACGCCTAGGATTCAAACCTGCAAACCCCAGCCCACCAAAGCAGAGTGCACGAACTTAACCACTATGCCACCAGGCCAGCCCCCGAGGAATACATTTTTTAAAAGACAGGGAGCAGGGGCTGGCCCAGTGGCACAAGCGGTTAAGTGTGCGTGCTCTGCTTCTGCGGCCCAAGGGTTCGCAGGTTAGGATCCCGGGTGCGCACCGATGCACCGCTTGTCAAGCCATGGTGTGGCAGTATCCCATATAAAGTAGAGCAAGATGGGCACAGATATTAGCCCAGGGCCAATCTTACTCAGCAAAAAGAGGAGGATTGGCATCAGATGTTAGCTCAGGGCTGATCTTCCTCACAAATAAATAAATAAATAAAAAAGCCAGGGAGTAGCGAGATTCTACTTTATTAGAGTTGCAGAGTATAAATAGATATTTAGAAGCCAATAAGTAATATTACTGAAAGCATGCAGAGTGCAGGTGAGTAATAAGTGGATTCATGTTATTATGGTGAGAACCAGGCTAAAATTTGTACGTTCTGTTCCTGTTCAGCATTTGATTTTGCAACAGAGGAAATTTCCTTCTAGACTCCTTCTCTATGCATATTGCCCCTCTAGCACTACACTTTCTGCTTGTCTCAGCCCTCGAGGAGCCCCTCGCTTATTGACTGTCCCCACACCTGGCCCTCAGGAGGCTCAGATGGCAGTTATCTAGTGAATCACGGGCTCCTGTGGAGTGAAGTTCCACTGAAGGGACTTGAATCCACCTTCTTCCCAAGTCTTCCCTATCTTAGTAAGTGGCCTGTCCTCCTGTGTCCTTGGGAGCCAGCAGTGGGTGGAGCAAGGGCAGTGGGGTCAGCCACCATGCCTACCTGCACAGCTTGGGCCATGTTACTTGACTGCTCTGTGCCTCAGTTTCCTGATCTGTAAAAGAATGATAAAAAATAGTACTTTCCCTACTGGAATCTTGTGAGGATTCAACATGTGTGTGTGTGTGTTTGTGTGTGGAGAGAGAGAGAGAGTGTGTGTGTGTGTGTGTGTGTGTGTGTGTGTGTGTAAAACAGTATTTAGGACCATGCCTGACATATGAGCTCTCAAAAACCAATAAGAATTGGCTATTATTATTAGCTACTTCATCCAGAAACCTACAAGATTTTCTTTCAGACTCACCCCACAGCAAGTCTTAGGATCTCTACCTCCAAAAATATGTCTTGAGTTTGTCTGCTTCCCTCCATCACTGTCACCCATTAGTCTTCTCCCACTTAGATTCCTTAAAGCCTCCTAAGCAGTCTCTCTGCTTCTACTCTTAACCCTTGCTGGTTATTCATCACATCCAGGCAGAAGGATCTTTTAAAACATGAGAAAAGTCATGTTACTACCCTGACCTAAACTTCCAATGGCTTCCTATGACACTCAGAATAAAACCCAAGCTCTGGAGTGTGTCCTCCCTGGCCCGTGGGTCTGCCCTGCCCCTTCTCTGGCCTCATGTCACTTCTCTCCTCCTTACTCCCTGCACCCCACTGAGCACACTGTCTACCCCATGAGTTTCTGCACAGGCTCTTTCCTCTGTCTGGAGACTCTTCCCACAGATTTTGCATGGCTGGCTTCTGATTGTCAGCTTAAGTATTGCTTTCAGAAAGACTTCCTCTGGTCACACAGATGACAGCAAGGCCCCCGGTCACTACCTATTTCTTCACCTTGATTTGTTTTCTCCATACAACTCACCATTACCTAAAGTTATCTCACTTGTTTGCTTATTCCACTAGGATGTAGGTTACACAGATCTAAGACCTCATCTGACTTGTTCACTGCATCCACAGAACCAAATGGCCTAGAGCTAGCACGTGGCGGGGCTGAACTAAATGTCTCTTGTTTGTTCACGGAGTACTGGGACAGCAGGAAGCAGGACCCATCTTGCTGGAGAGACTCCAGCATGGATTTCAGCACCCGTATGACAGATGTGGGCAGTATGTCCTAAAGTTCCAGCAATGGCAGTACCTGGGAAAACTGCACCTGAGCTGGGGGTCTTGGGCTGATTTATTCTGTGTCCTGGCACCAGCTGGCAGTGTTGCCCTTCGCTTTGTTGGCTCCTTCGTGCTTGCAGACAACCAACAACATAAGAAAGGGAATGTAATCTCTTTTGGTGTTGATGTGCTTTCTTGTAGACAGAATTAAGACAGTGACCTTAATTTTTTTCACAAAGACATGGTCGACATAAATCATATTAGCCTTATTCTCTTATTTAGCTAAACAAGTCATACTATTTTGTGCACTTAAAAAAGATTAACTTTTATTAGGCAACACATGTGCATGGTTCTAAATTCAAAATTAAGACTCCTTCTCTCTACTTCCCTTCACCTTCCCTGTTCTCCTCCCCGTGGGGAGGGATTTAGACTTTAGGTAAAACAAGTGGCCTGGAATGGTTCAAAAGGGCATGGCTGTGATCTTAGATATGGTTTTATTAGACTTTATTTTTCAGAGTAGTTTTAGGTTCATAGCAAAATTGAACAGAAGGTACAGAGAAGTCTCATATATCCCCTCTCCCCCCCCCCCCCCACAGCCTCCCTCACTATCAACATCCCCCACAAAAGTTGTACATTTGTTACAGTCAGTGAACCTGCATGACACATCATCACCCAAAGTCCATAGTTTACATTAGGCTTCACCCTTGGTGTTGTACATTCTCTGAGTTCTAACAAATGTGTAATGACATGTATCCACCATTATAGTATCGTACAGAGTAGTTTCACTCCCTAAAAATTCTCTGTGTTTTGCCTATTCATCCCTCCCTACCCCCAAGACCTGGTACCCATTGATCTTTTTACTGTCTCCGTAGTTTTGCCTTTTCCAGAATGCCATATAGTTGGAATCATACAGCATGTAGCCTTTTCAGATTTGAGTCTTTCACCTAGCAGTAATGCATTTAAGGTTCCTCCATGTCTTTTTGTGGCTTGATAGCTCACTTATTTTTAGTACTGAACAATATTCCATTATCTGGATAGTCCACAGTTTATTAATCCATATATCGACTGAGGGACACCTCATTGCTTCCAAGTTTTGGCAATTATGAATGAACCTGCTATAAAAATCTGTGTGCAGGTTTTTTTGTAGACATAAGTTTTCAGTTCCCTTGGGTAAATACCAAAGAGCATGATTGCTGGATCGTATGCCAAGAGAATGTTTAGTTTTGTAAGAAACCACCAAACTGTCTTCCAATGTGACTGTACCATTTTGCATTTCCAACAGCAATGAATAAAAGTTCCTGGTGCTCTACATCCTCATCAGCATGTGGTGTCAGTGTTTGGATTCTGGCCATTCTAACAAGTGTTAGCTTTGTTTTAAAAAGACCACTCCTGTAGCTGGTTGGAGAATGGAGAAGTCTCATTAATAGGCTGTCACTGTAATGTGGGGGCTGATGTGTCAGTAGTCCAAGTGATAACAGTGAAGATGGAGCAAAGCAGACATATTTTCAGAACATTTTTATAACAGAAAGGAACTTCTGTGACTGTGAGTTCATGTGAGTGTGAACAGAAGTCAGGAAAGCAGGGTAATTCTTGGTTTTCTTAGTTGTGCACCTGAGAGATGGCTACTTCTCAGGGAAAACGGAGAGGAATGGTGTATTGGGGGGGGGAGGTCAAGCTTTCAATCTTGGACATGTTAGGACAGAAGTGTTCACAAGACATTGAGACAGATGTCACACAAGCAGTTGGGTCTGTGAGAAGTCTTGTGCTAGAGATACACACTTGGAAGTGGTCAGCTAATTTTTATTAAAGTCACCCCGGGATGGTGGTCCTCTACCCTGGCAGGAGCTTTGGAAAAATACCTATGCCCAAGCTCATAACTGATCCACAGAACCAGAGCCTGATTCTAATAAGCAGCCAACATTGATAACTACAGAACTGAACTCTGAGAAACTGACACTTAGAAGTCAGAGAGGAGGCGCCAACGAGAGACTATGGAGTGGCCACAGAAAGAAAGGAGATGAGAAGAATGTAGTGTCAGGAGCCAACACAGGGACTGTTTGATAAAGCTTGTGGAATGGCAGGCAGGTATGGCACTGTGCCTCTAATCATTAACCAACACTGGTAGAGCTTTATCCAAAGTTTTATGAAATCAAACACTCAATTCTTTTCAAGTATTCTCAGACGGCTTGAGTCAAGATATACAGGGAGACTGTGGTTAGAAAGTTATTTTGTGAGTACGGTATCAGGATGCGGAGAGCTAGTTGATCTTAAGCAGTTTCTTGGCTAGGTATTTTCATGCACTTTCATCCCCTTAGGGATAGCTTTACTAAGAAAACTGCAATTCTGGATTATACTGAGGCAGTATTCCTCCCCCTGGGCAGTGCCTGCTCCAAGAACACCAATGCTGGCTTTCCTGTTTATGTTTTCATGGCTGGCCAAG